GGCCCCTAGGACCTGGCACCCCCACCCTGTTCAGCCCTGCCACCTAAATCTGCTGTTTAGGCTGCCATCACACCTGTCTCTGCCCTGTTGCTCTCCCCGGGGTACTCACACCTCTGTCCATTCCACCATGGTCCTGATGAGCTCCCAGAGGAGACCCAGGAGCATGGCGCAGGTCTGCAGCATCCACAGCCTGAGGTCCGTGACCACCTGCATGAGGAGGAGGTGGTGCTCAGCGAGGCCGACATGCTGCTTCCCTGGGGAGCCAGGACCCTGCTGAGCTCTAACTGCCCCCTGGACTCCCCACGGTTGGGACAGCACAGAGCAGGGTGCTGGAGGAACTAGAGGCACCTGATCATTCTGGCTGTGTCCCCTGTGCAGTTTCCCTGCGGTTTCGCCAATAAGCTGAGCTCCTGGAGGTGAAGGGAGGCACAGGATCAAAGTCTATATGCCCACAGGGCTCAACCCTTTGGGCATATAGACTGTGCCAACATCACCCCTGTCAACCTCCCTCCCTACCCCAGGGCTCTGGGTCCTGCCCAAATCTCTCACCATTTCTGCTGAGGCCTTTTTTTTTAAAAAGAATAATTTTTTGAAGTTATAGAATCTCACTGTATTGCCCAAGCTGGTTTCGAACTCTTGACCTCAAGTGAACCTCCCACCTCAGCCTCCCAAAGTGCTAGGATTATAGGCATGAGCCACTGCTTCTGGCCCATGTCCTGAGGTCTCCGCTGCTGTTTGCCAATGGCAAAGTAAACAAAATGATGGTGCTAATGCTCAAAGTGGCCCAGGGCCAGGTGGAGAAGGGTGTCCAGGAAGGAGATGGGGCTGCAGGGGTCTTACCTTCAGGTGGTGCTCATTGGCTGTCATCATCATTGGGGTTGAGTCTGAAGGTGCCCTGGGCCCACACCTTAGTCACCTATAGCAGGGTGGCAGCAACACTGGGAGTCAGGTGAACAGGTATCAGCAGCCAGGAGAGCCCCTGCCCTGGTCCCACCCTATCTCTCATGGCTGTCACTGTCCAGTAGCTGACTCCTGGAAGCCCACCCTGGAAGGGGGCATCGTGGGCCCGGCACACCCTCACCCATGAGCCACGGGGGCTATAGGGTCGTTAAAGGATGGAGAAAGGTGGTCATCAAGGCACACAGTTAAACAGGATTAGGATATATAATTAGTTCAATGTGAAACCACAGATGCTGCTATTTGCTCAGCCTGGGGGCACATGAAGGGGCCTCAGGTGGGGCTTGGGCCATGGGAATACCTCATAACCTGCCTGTTCCTTGAGCACGATGTGTACCAAGGGGAGCTGGAGTGAGGGCAGCACCGGGGGAAGGGACAGGATTGCCACCCTGAGCTGTGTGACCATAGACCAGACCCCTCTTCTCCAACTGAGGCCAGACAAACAGGTGATTTTGGGAGCCAGTGCCTGACNTAAGGCCTGCAGGAAATGCCCCACTCCTTGCTTCTCTGCCTTGATCCTAGAGTTCTGGGATGCCCCCCGGCCCCTAGGACCTGGCACCCCCACCCTGTTCAGCCCTGCCACCTAAATCTGCTGTTTAGGCTGCTATCACACCTGTCTCTGCCCTGTTGCTCTCCCCGGGGTACTCACACCTCTGTCCATTCCACCATGGTCCTGATGAGCTCCCAGAGGAGACCCAGGAGCATGGTGCAGGTATGCAGCATCCACAGCCTGAGGTCCGTGACCCCCTGCATGAGGAGGAGGTGGTGCTCAGCGAGGCCGACGTGCTGCTTCCCTGGGGAGCCAGGACCCTGCTGAGCTCTAACTGCCCCCTGGGCTCCCCACGGTTGGGACAGCATGGAGCAGGGGGCTGGAGGAACTAGAGGCACCTGATCATTCTGGCTGTGTCCCCTGTGCAGTTTCCCTGCGGTTTCGCCAATAAGCTGAGCTCCTGGAGGTGAAGGGAGGCACAGGATCAAAGTCTATATGCCCTCAGGGCTCAACCCTTTGGGCACACAGACTGTGCCAACATCACCCCTGTCAACCTCCTTCCCTACCCCAGGGCTCTGGGTCCTGCCCAAATCTCTCACCATTTCTGCTGAGGCCTTTTTTTTTAAAAGAATAATTTTTTGAAGTTATAGAATCTCACTGTATTGCCCAAGCTGGTCTCAAACTCTTGGCCTCAAGTGAACCTCCCACCTCAGCCTCCCAAAGTGCTAGGATTATAGGCATGAGCCGCTGCTTCTGGCCCATGTCCTGAGGTCTCCACTGCTGTCTGCCAATGGCAAAGTAAACAAAATGATGGTGCTAATGCTCAAAGTGGCCCAGGGCCAGGTGGAGAAGGGAGTTCAGGAAAGAGATGGGGCTGCAGGGGTCTTACCTTCATGTGGTGCTCATTGGCTGTCCTCATCATTGGGGTTGAGTCTGAAGGTGCCCTGGGCCCACACCTTAGTCACCTATAGCGGGGTGGCAGCAACACTGGGAGTCAGGTGAACAGGTATCAGCAGCCAGAAGAGCCCCTGCCCTGGTCCCACCCTATCTCTCATGGCTGTCACTGTCCAGTAGCTGACTCCTGGAAGCCCACCCTGGGAGGGGGCATCGTGGGCCCAGCACACCTTCACCCATGAGCCACGGGGGCTATAGGGTCGTTAAAGGA